GCTCAAAAAAGTGCTTCAAAATTTTGTTTTATGATTAAATTTCAGACAGTTCATTCAACTGATACATTGATAAGGCTTTTATTCATTATATTTTTACAAAAGGCAATTTTTGTTAACATTTTAGTCAAAACACTATATTTGCCTATTTCTCCATACATCACTTTTGGACTTAATTCTCGTTTCGATGTGATGGGTCACAATTAAGTGGGTTTAGTTTGTTCATTTACTGCTTCTGTTTTTCAGCTTAGCTATTGTTGAATACAAAATAACTCTGTATAACATTTGTCACATTTTATTGGTCCAACTTAACTATTTTTTATGACCTGACATATAAACCGAAGGGGGTTAGCTTACGTTGGTTGACCAAGTATGTCAGTTTCATTCAATCTATCTGGATGTTTCAATATGATTTTCATGTGATAGATGTGAAACCGAAAACTCATATAGCAACACATCCACTAATTACAGTATAAATGAAGTTTCTTGAGAAAATTGAGGAAAGGTTACAGACTGCTGTAGTAAACACCAGTCAGAAGGTGGAAACCAAACCAAGAGAAAGAAATAAACAGTGTTCAGGTTTCATCTATAGCAGGGTTTCCCAGCCATACTGCCCTGCATGTTGTATATATAGGTGTCCTGAAGCAGGAAAACATCTACGACATGCAGGGCAGATGTGTCCTGAGGACCAAGGTTGGGAAACGCTGGCCTGTACAAGCAGGAGCCGCTCCTGACTCATCCAGTTTAAATGTCAAAACACACTCTGAAGAGGTGTTGCCATCACACACAGGAACAATAAATCTTTTCTGAAAAGGACAAAAATGCTTTCGTGGATTAAATTTCAAGATGTTTTTGTTGTTTTGCCATTATATTTTGAATATCACAACTGATTAGCATGCTCCAAGGAGCTTTATTGTCATTCCAAATGAGTACATGTGGAACAAAAAACAGACACCGAGGTCCCAGCTGTCAGCTGTGAATAAGAAACAGTTGTGCTGATTTAGCTCTGCCAAACTGGAAGAAAAGGCAGTGTGCTTCTGTAGGAAGGATATGAACAATGTAAATCTTACCTGCTATATAAGATAACTTCAACAGGTAAGATTTTCATTCTTCATAACCTTCCCACAGAAGCACACTGCCGTTTCTTCTTTGCTCTAATAGGCCTGTCGCCACAATAAATACTGCTGGACAACAAATTGGCTTAGAAATTATTGTGATAAATGATTATTAAGAGTGGAGACTATTTTAAACTAATGATAATTTTCATATATATTCATGTAAACACTATTTTTTGAAAAATAGCATTTCTGCATTGCATGGTTATATAAAAAATGTTATTGTTATGTGTTAGAATAATAGCAATAACAGCTAGCTTTATCATTTCATGAGCTCTTGGGAACTTTTTTTAATAGCATTACAGTACATTTCTGTTGGAACAACTGTGCTATGCAAAGCTTTTAGTAATGAAAACACTTTTAAATTATAAAGTACATAAACTCCAGCAAGGTTTTTGAGGCAGTGGTAGATTTAAAAAGAGAATCTTGTCATGTTTTTTTAGGTAGCGCAACTGTGTTTGCTGCATGACCTGTCTTAACTGCCCCTCCCTCCTTCCCTGAATATACAGCACCTTGTGAATTTATTTCTGTGAAAGGCGCTATATAAAATAAAACTTTACTTTATTTACTTACTTTACTTACTATTTTTCCAGGTTCATGTTCTGTTTATTGTTTTCAGGCTTATTTATTGCTTTTTTTTTCAAACTGTGAATGGGTGAATGACTGTAGTGTAATAAGTTATAAGTTCAGGTCCTTTACATAGACCTCTGCCCTTAATGCCATACTCTGTGCTTTATGACTAACATCACAGCTGATAAAGTACAGATAGGTTAAGGATAACTATTTGAAAGAATATCACTTAAAGGGGACCTATTATGCAAAATTCACTTTTTAAGTTTTTTTTTTAATCAACTTTGAGTATGAACTTCTTAAAAAAACAGTCCTAGGACCAAAAAAAATGCACCCAGGGGCATATTTACTGTAAGTAAATGTATTTTTAATGTATATTAACGACAAGTTTTATACTTCCGTCATTTTGTGATGTCAAAAGCCGTACGACAACCCACCGGAACCTGGTTCAGCCCCTTATCTAGCAACCCCCGGGTGAGACTCCACCTCCTCAGTATAAACAGCCGTCACCGTGTTATTGTGTAATGTGTAGCTCATTTCATAACAAGCCTCCAATAGGGCAATGGGTAGAGTGTTGGACCAGAGAGTGGGAGACCAGGGTTTGAGACCAGCACGGACACAAACAATTTAATTATTTATTTTCATTCGTTATGAACACGTTTTCTCATGTACCTCTATTGTTTAGCTTATTAAAGCCTTGTTAAAGCCTATTTGTTCGAGTTTCTGAGATATTTTGACCGCTGCTGCTCCCTGCTCTGGTAACAGCATGCAGAGTGAGCACAGAGCAGAGGAGGGAGAGGAAAAAAAAGAAGAAGCTGGCTTTGGAGGGTGGAGTTAATGTCAACAGATTTTTGGAGGGCGTTACCAACAGAGCTCATTAACATAAACAGCTCTTCTGAACAGAAGTCAGAGCAGGCTGAACTAGAAAATGGGAAATTTTATTATCTGAGAATTATTTTGTGCATTAAATTGAATGAACATGGTCTGGATAGCCCACAGACATACCATAAAAACTTCTAGAACCCATAAATGGTCTCCTTTAAAAAATGAACAGACTAATCCTTTAAGACAGCAGAAATGTTTGTTTTGGCCAGTACTTAGCCATTAGCTCATCAGTGTGGTCATAATAAAATTCAAATCAAGGTCATTCAAAGAGCAAGATATCATTTGTTCTTAAGATTTCCTCAGAGCACCACTTAAAAAGGACCTGAAATAAATTATTCACATTCACCAAAGGTTCTACACGTACAAATCAACCTGGCCCTTTCCAAACGAGCAGCTGTGGGAAACACACTGAGTGATCAGAAAGGCGAAATCAGTCAGATCATCTTCCAGATTAGAGCGTTAACATATTCACTACATACATTAAGTGTTGATGCAGATTTATGCCTTACATTCAGAAACCTTTTTCTGTTTACTTGGAGCAAAACGTGGCACTAATATTAGCTGTGGATGACAGAAAAATAGGCTCTCTGGTAATAGCAGAGCAAATGGTCGTATTATTTGACAGGTTGTGAATTTCATGAAGTATGTGTTCTCAGACGTTTCATGATTCAACCTGGAGGTGTATTTTGACTACTTAATAGCAAGGCTATTATTATAATGCATGCTTTGGAACACCCATGTCATTTGTTTGAAAATGTCACTCTCCAAACCAACCACTGAAGAAGTAAGAAATAAAAAACTGAAAAAAAGGGGGAAAAATACTTACGGCTCAATGCTGACTGGAGTGGTCTCACTCATAGCAGACAAAATGGGTGGTGTGATGTCGCAGCTGTCTAAAATAAGAAATAATACACATCCTTGAACAAAACTACTGACTCAGCTTGCACTCAAACTACTAATCTGCTTTAATATAAAGGTTATCGATTAAGGGAATCACTAAAAGTGTGCACAGCTTCACATACGTCAACATCTTTTACTTACTGGAACGCAACAAGCTGCGTGTGGCTGATTTGGGGGTAGCAGGGGGGGGCAGGCCCGGGCCGCTGGCTGCAGCAGTCGACAGGAAAGTAGAGAAGTAAAGGCCGGAGCCTTCTCGAACGGGGCTGAGGATCGGCGGAGGCGTGTACGGGGGCATTGTGTTGGCGCTGTCGGTGAGCCGAACAGGGGAGCGAAGGTGGCTTTGGTAGGGCGTGATGCTGGAGTAGATGGGCGGGGCTATGAAAAAACTGGGTTTGGGTGGAGGGATGAAGAGCGGTTCAGGACGAGGACGTCGTTTGGACTTCTTGCCATCTTCGTCCTTCTCTCCCTCCGGGCCGTCATTCTGGGATGCCAAGAGAAATTTGAAATGTGTCACAAGAACATTTATTTGTAGAGTCTGATGTTTTAAATACTGTAAGAACATGAAATAAAATTAAAACAAGTTATGAATTAAAGGCCTAGAACTTGTTGAAGAAATGCATATTGTCTGCTGTTTTCCATGCCAGAGTTCAAGCTCAATAATGTGTGCAGTTGTAAGATGTGTTGAGAACGACTCTCCGCTACTTCCATGCCAAATTTAAACTCAAAATCCAGTGTTGCGCACAAACACATTCATGAATTCTGTTCTTTTTTTTTTCAATGAATTTTTACCAAATTCATTGAAGTGTGTGTGTGTGTATATATATATATATATATATATATATATCATTTTAAAAGTAGCAGTATCAAACACATTAAAGCAATAGAAATGCATTTTACAGTGCTTTTAAATTATCAATTACTTCTTTAGCAAACATTTCTTGTTTGTATTGCACTTAGTGGTGATTCAAACCATTTAGTTGTTACAAATGTTTGTGTTAAAAAGCTCAAATAAGTTAATAGTAAGTACAGTGGCTGATTACTAAATAAGTGCTAAGATAAATTACTGTTGTCATGAAAAATCTTTTTGAGGTTTTAACATACTAACAATGGATTTTGCTTATATTTCCATAGCAATGCTGCAGTAAAGGAAGTTAATGAGATCTCATGTTTGAAGTAGAAAGAGTATCTAACAACTTATAGGTTCACATTATCTGTACAGACTGGTTCGTCTTTGACCTGAGGGAACCAGAATGAACCTGTGATGGAGACCCAGGCCCAGACTGCAGATGGCTGTGAGAGCAGTGATGCTGACTCTCTGACTGTTCACAGACTGCTGAGCAGAGATTCACTCGTTCTTTGGAAACAAGCTAAGAATTTGACACACCCTTTACTTTACCCTAAGGATACAAACACATACACTCAACAAAAAAATAAACCAAAACATTTGTTTTTGCTCTGACTTTTTCTACACAATAAGCTTTTTTCTCTCAAATACTGTTTACAAATTTGTGTAAATCCAAGTTAGTGAGAAATTCTCCTTTGCAGAGGTAATCTGTCCACCTCACAGGTGTGGATTATCATGATTCTGATTAGACAGTATGATTATTGCACAGGTGTGCCTTAGGCTGGTCACAATAAAGACCTTTTTGCACCACAAGGCAATACTGGGGTTATATGCTGGGCAATACTGGGCCAGCCTGGGTTTAGTACTGTATGTTTGCATTAGCCCTTATGGCCCAGTTTCAGCCCGTATTCTACAACGCCGAGACCAGTAGTTCAGCCTGGCCGGCCCGATATGACATCATCTACTGCTAGGGATCTCATCCTGATACATTTGCATTGAAAATGCAATTAACAAAACGTTGACTGTCCATAACGTACACCTGCCCCTACCATAACCCCACTGCCACCACGAGCCACTCAATTCACAAGGGTGACAGTGTTTCCCCTTCATTACCCAATGGGGGCGATGTAGAGGTCCTGGGCTGGTGCGGTTACATGTGGTCTGCGGTTATGAGGCCAGTTGAATGTACTGTGATATTCTCTGAAACACCTTTGGAGATGGCAGATTGTAGAGAAATAAAAATTTAATTCACGGGAAACAGCTCTGACGGAAACTCCAAAACCTGCAACATCAGTGGCATCGTGCTGTGTGAGAAAACTGCACGTTTCAGAATGTTCTTTTATTTGGGGCCAGCCTATACTCATGCAGTCTAATCAGCATCGTGATATGAAACACCTGCGAGGTGGATGGATCGTCTTGGCAAAGGACAAGTGCTCACTAACAGAGTTTTACAAATTTGTGAACAATAGCTGTGTCCAAAACGACAGGACGGGTCCTCCGGAGGACCCAGACTCCCCGGTCTCGGCGGGCCAGGTCCTTGGTA